CCGTTGAGGGTGGCCAATATGCTGGAGTGGCCCTCGGTGAAATTGAGTTTGACATCCCTGATGTAAACGCTTGAGAAGAATTGGAAGAGATATTTTATCAACAATTAGGAGGACATTGTAAGATCATATGTTTAAAGTTAAAGGAACAAAAAAAGGAAGAATATTTTCTGAATTTGCTGCAGTTCTGATAGGATTTACAACTGGACATTTCTACCTTCAAGATGTCTAACATCAGCTCAAATTCATTTTTGCTACAGTCTGATCATTTTAGAATTGATGCGAAAGCATTCCGAAGGTTTTAGTCCCTGTATTTGCAAGCTGGCCAAAAATGTGATTTTCTTCTATTACACCATGGAGGATTCCTTGAAGTACTGTGGCAGCAACAAACATGAGTCTTTTAGTTTTCTAGGAACCATTTTGCTGAACAAAAGTCGAACATTCTTTTTCACTGCCATCATAGTAGCAGTCCAAAGTTTTTATCTATAAATGTTTGTTTGGCTCTGTCGTCAAACATTCGGAGGCTGAGAGAAATGATTAATGTTGCCAGACAAGAAATACATTCTGGCAATTCAGGTCAGCCAAAGGGAATGGATGACACAATGGTGGAAAATGATAATGCCATTTCTTTAATTTCCTGTCAATTGCTTGAGATAATGCATGTTCTGTGTTGTTTGAGATGGAGCAAAGATTCTAAAAGGAAACATTCTTTGGCCAAATGCACTCAGTGTTTTATTGAATGCAGCTTCCATCTTTGCACAATGAGCTCTTCCAGGCTCCTGTCCGGCAGGCAGATTTTAATAAAAGCTTGACGATGGTGAAAAAAATCATCTCAGATTTCAAAACATTCAGCGGCTTTTAAAAAGTAAAACTCACATGCTCGGCTTCGGCACCGCAGCAATCTGGAAGGTGTGAATTACTCTTTTAAGACCTCAGCCTTTTGAAAACTTTGTTATTCAACCTGTATGAAAAGAGAAGAAAATTCCTCCATCACAGACTGTTTTATACAAGGAAATTCTGTCATTGTGATTCTATTATCACGCTTGTAACAAAAAATTCCACTAAAACTTCAAATATCTTTATGATATTTAATGTTTTCGTTCAAATATGCAACTGCATGAGTTAGAATTTAAGACACAAAAGACCAGGGCAATTCAAAAAGTTCTCTCAGCTTGACATCTAAATTTACCATTTGTTTCTCTACACCTGATTTCCTCTCTTCATTTGCTAATTCTTACATCTGTACCTCCATCTGGCCAGAAAAGAATGAATTAACCTGTGAGCGAATAATCATTCGTCGCGAGAGCGAGTCGCTCAGCTCTGATGGAATTTACACAGATCCCACAGTAATTCTGAAATAATTTGAATCTGAATAACGCAGGGCAGAATAATCAACAAGTAATGAGAAATAAAATTGGTCATCTGCTCACATCTTTCACTATATCAGCTTCATCAACAGGCATGACTGCTCCCTTTCATTCCAAACAATCATCTTTAGAGGTCAGTCCCCCTTCTGTGCAGTTAATTTTGCCGAGAGGCATGAATGTTTCAGTCAGTACTGTATTGCTCATCACTCCGGAGACACAAAGGCCAAATAGCAGCCTATTCTGGTCTTCCTTTGTGGCATAAATGCAAATGTGATCTTGATTGGGCTTTTCTTTTTCATTTTTTTACTGAATTATCAGCGTTAAAAATCTATTTAGGGATAATCTGATTTCACTTAAAATGATCATTTATGACTAATTGGAACAAGTTTGTTTTTTCTGAGGAATGAAAATGTGCCAATTAAACCAAGAGACAAGAATTCATTTAGAAAATGAAACAAACTAGGAGAGTGCTTAACAAAGCCATTTAGAAGTTGTTGTTTTTGAATGATCTTTTAGCTCCTAATAAATAGATTTTTCACTGCAAAATTGTTTTTCAAAAGCAACATTTGACCTTTGATTCTCTTCTGAGGTAGAAACACAAAAGGAACAACGACCAGCTGCAATGTTCCAAAAACGCCATCGACGCGGATGCTTAGAGGCACCAGATGATCCTAATCTGAGAAATATGTTGATCAGCAAAATCTAATGTTGATAATAACAATTTGAGGATTCACAATATTTTTTTTGTATTACAGTATTAAGTGTATTTGGACAGCCTGCGTGTGGACCACAACACAGACCACAGCCAGATGGGTTCATGGTTTGTTATGCAACAATGAAAGCCTAGTAGCTGTTTGGGGTTCCTTTGCATGAATTATTGCACCAATGCAGCATGGCATGGAGGAGATATGCCTACAGCTCTGCTGATGTGTTAAAGAAGCCCAGGTTGCTTTAATAGTGACCTTCATCTCAACTGCATTGTTGGCTCAGGTATCATTCATTCCCCTCTTGACAAAACCCCATAGATTCTCGGGAGAGGGTATTGGTCAATCAAGCACTGCAATACATGCTCATTAACTGGCACCTTGGGCAGTGTGGGCAGGTGCCAAGTCCTTCTAGAAATAAAAACAGCATTTCCATAAAGCTCGTCAGCAGAAGCATCTTAAATTTCCTGGTGGACAGCTGCTCAGACTTTGGACTGTGCAGCAGTCACACAGGACTTTAAGGAACTTCAATAATTGTTGTTGAAGTTGCCTTTTCTTTATGCAACTAGGATAGGCATTTATTAAATGGTAAATAAATTATTCACATAAATAAAACGTGGAGAGCTATTAATGCCAAATGAAAAAAAAAATAATGCAAAAAATAGTCATATAACAGCAGAAACTATTATCCAGGTGTTCAACTTTAATTGCATAAACAAACTTGTCATTATTTTATCACATCTTCTGTTCATTAATCATTTATGTGGGGAGGAAAATAAAAGTAAACTTGGACTATTTTCTGAAGTGTTTTGGCAGTCACTGAGGTAAAATTTAAGGATAATTCAACAACTTGGATCTGGATGTTTCTCCTGTCAAGACAGCAAAGGTGTACAACACACATATGCATGCAATCTTTACTGTCATTCTACTTTCCATTAGTCACATAGTACATGACACTTAGAAATTAGTTTTTCCCTTCGTGAGCTCTTTGCAACAGAACAGCTGAACATGGCTGGAAGTGCAGAATCTTACAATAAACATCCGAGCTAAACGACTTTCTGCATCAAAGCAAACAGTAAAGAGAGACTCTGGAACAGCTACTGGGGGCAATAATAAGAAAAATGCTCTTGAGTAATCTCACTGATTCTTGCATAGGTTTTCATTTTACTGATTAAGTGCTGCTACTGCGTTAGGTTTGCAGGGAACGGAAGCACATTACGGTCTTTAATATGCTTGCATTTGTGCCCAGAGCAGCAAGCCTCACTGATGTCTCAACACTGCCATCTTTTGATAACAGCCACTAAGTAAAGCTCTTCATGTTCAAACAGCTCACTGATCAGAGACACAGAGAAGCACTTCAGCAAATGTGCCAGTCATGAGTTAAATAAAGGACAACAAATATCACTTCACGGGCTTCCTGTACATTCTAGCAAGGAAATATCTCTCAGCTGAATCCTTTCTGCTGGCGTCTGGCTTTATGGTCCGAACACTGCTGAACACAGATGAGAGTTTCTCCTGGAGGTGATGGGAAAGAACCCCGTCCCAGTATTTGCAGAGCAGAGAGCCTCCAGGCAGCAGAATCTTCTCAGCCAAGTCTATCAGAGACAAACACATGGTGATCAGTTTCTCTTGGTCCATGTCTCTGAAGCCGCTGGCGTTGGGCGCCATGTCGCTCAGGATGACATGAGCTCGGCCCCGGGGGAGGAGCTCCTGCAGCTTGTCGTGCGTGGCGGGGTCGGTGACATCGTGATTGGAGAGGAAGTGGGCCCCGTCCAGGGGTGGTATGTTGAGCAGGTCGATGCCGATGACTGTTCCACGTGGCGAGCCTTGATCTAAAACGACAGCCACCGGAACAGTTCATCTCCCTTCTACATGTCTTATCTGTTCACACAAACAACAGCCTGTGGCAAACTGAGCGATTAAAAAAAATAACACCAAAAACAAAAAGCAGAAGAAATAGTTGGCTCCCTTGTCATCTTTGATATCCCTTTAGTTGTCTCTGATTCTTATACATTTTTCAAAGACGAACTTGATGTTAACATAGGAATACCGCACTAATGTTTTTCCAAGTTACGCATATTTCAAATAAATAAAGTGACAAATTAACTTAAATTTCCCTTTTTCCAAACCAAAGATTTACTGATTAATGAGATTTAAACTAATCTTTTAGACTTTAAACATGCTTTATCTGTGCAATCCATCACAATCATTAACACATCTGCCTTTTTTTTTCTTTGGACAAAGTTACATGTTTGGTGGGTGATGATGTAGGACAAACTTATAATATCCATCTTCATTTACAGCAGCATCATTAGACAGCAATAACCTCAATGTGACAAGGATAACTAAGGATATTGATTAATGTTCGGATTAATTACGGGTTCCAAAACAATGAAACACTCAGGCCTGCATAATAAATGTGACAGTTTACTATAAGACAATAACCCTTTTTTTCTGGCTCATGTGGCAGAACATTATTCTCAAGAGGATTTGATATTTATCCACTGACTAATATGTATTTATTGCTAAATCTTTTGGAGTTACTAATGCATTGATTATGATTCTACACGTCAATACCAATTTCTGGTATTTTTTGTTAGCTGGCTTGCTGATTTTAATTTTGAATCTTTCACATTTTTCTTCTGTCTTGTTTTTTTTTTTTTTTAAAGTACAGTAACACAAAAGAATAAGATATTTGTGTACTATAGCAAACATTTTATGTAACCTTATTAGACATGCCAACATGCACAGGTCTGGCTCTCCAGGCAAGTCCACCTTGAAAGTTCAAGATGCTAAAACTAGTCTCCAAAAGCCCAGAGATGTCATGACGGGACCCACAGAACGTGCTAAATTTGATCTTGGCAATGCATTAAAAAAAAAACAAAAAAAAAACATTTGTTGTGTTCTATGTTACAGCAGTATAGACTGGCATAAAAGGCAATGTTATTTTGTGATAAGCTAAATTATTAGCAGTTATAAACAAAAAACAGCTGAAAAAGCTCCAAACTGCTATGCATGTAAAAAGCATGACAAAGCATTACATAATTGTAGTAATATTTTTATTATATTCTGTACTGTGGCTTAGTTCTACCTTTAATGTTCTCAGTCAAGAATGCAATGTGGCTCTTCTAATGACATAAAATTAGAAAGATAAACTAACTAATCAATTGAATCTAAGAGTTAGTTTAATGATGCGTGGAGATTTCGTTTTTTAATGACAATTAGAGATTTGATGTGGTAGCTGAACCCATGTGAATGAAACCTGTCATGTCTACCTGTCCCAGCAGAGTTGATCCTTTGCACAGCCACTTGGCTCCATGCTCCAGGTGCAGCACCGCAGTCCACCACGCTGTATCCGGGCTGTAGTAGACGGAACTTGTCGTCTATTTCCAAGAGTTTGAAGGCGCTTCTGCATCGAAAGTTTTGAGCGTGTGAAGCTTTGACATACGGATCTTTCAGCTGCCGCAGCACCCAGCGCTGCTCTGTTGCAGTTTTCCCCTTCAGCTTCTTCGTTACACTCAGCGAGCAGTGAAAACATCTCCTCTGAACAGAAAATATCCACATTTGGCTTATTCTACTATATCTATTCCTATTTCATCAACTGCGCTTGCGTGAAACAGAGTTCTCAACGTGTGCTACCTATTTGGGTCCCCTTTATTTTTGAAACAGAACGAGAAAACATTAGTTCCTATGTTTACGCAAATTCATCCCGTGCATTAAATTTACGTTCATTTAATTTTCATATTTTAATTGTGTGCGTTTATTATCAAAGACCTTAATGTACATGGTGAATATCTACATATTATGGATTGCATTCTCAAAAAAGTAACATTTGATGAATAAATAAATAAACATCTTACTTTTAAAAATAAACTCACTGTTTGGACGAAGTACCACTTGTTAGGATACCTGCCATTCACTGAATAAATGCTATTTCATCACAGAATAAATATCAAGTGTATGGCTTCTATTGTACCTAACAATTTGACATTAGGCTTTGTAAATTGTCTGTAAAACAAAGTGTTCCACTGAGAATTGATTTATTGGTGGAAAATGTGTCCTCATGATTTGTTTATAAATTAAATTTATTTTAATTTGTATTTTAGTTCTTATTGGTTCTGTTATTATTACAATCTATTAAAATATCAAAACATGAAATAAGACAGTGAATTTTGGGTGTTAGGACAACTGCTTAGCAAAATATGGCAGCATCAAGTTTCTGAAATAAGTAAACGGGAAAAAAAAAATTCCTCATTTTTCTAGTCGGACATGTTTCAAAGTAACACTTACAAACAGACCCCACAACCAAACGATGGGCCACATGCGTTGAATCTGAGTTTAGTCAGACCGATCCTTTTGTATACAAATCTTGTTATCATGTGACGATATCTGCATTCTCCACGCGGGAGTCTTTCGTGAGGTGGACTGTTTTCTTGAATAAAAGGTACTAGTTCGATCTGATCTTATTCTGCAATATTTAATGATAACATTGGTTAGCACCCCATATTGCAGCCACTGTTGCTTATTGCTCATTGTGTTTTGTTTTTTGTTTGTTTTGTTTTTGTTGTTGTTGTTGTTGTTTGTTTGTTTTTTTCTGTTGCTCAGAAAGTTCTTTCTTCCTCTCAGGTTAAGATGTTGACCTCCAAGCTGCTCACTCTGGTCCTGGTGATCCAGCCAGGTAGAGTGTTGCTGGGCATGAAGAAGAGAGGCTTTGGTGCTGGCAAGTGGAACGGATTTGGAGGCAAAGTTCAACCTGGAGAAACCATCGAGGAAGCAGCTAGAAGGTATTATAAGAAAAAATATTTATTTAATTTAAGGTTAATGTTGTGGTTTGTGTTAAAGCATAGGATCTAATCTAAATTATTGCATCTAAATTAATAAGCAGACAGCTGTTCAATATTTGTCCAAAAGTATTTTTATTACAGGTGTAAAATAGAGTTAACAGATTTCAAGTCCAAGTTGATCCAGTCAGATTCAGACAATCCAGTAATAAAAAAAAAAAAGTCCATCTTGAAAAACCAACAAATTGCTTCAATTTTTGATGAAGCACAAAGCCTCAGTAGAGAGGAACATCTCCCTTTCAATGAGCAAACTCCTTCAGAACCAGGCTCAGGGTGGATGGCAATCTACGGCTCCCTGATGGGATTGAGTAAAATGGACAGTCTTTAAAATTTTTAAAGGGGAGGCATAATTTTGGTGTGCTTGCAAAGCACAACTCTGTTTTACATTTTTGGGATCACACATTCAGTATATTTACATTTAAAAACAAAGGGAGTGGGAGTAAGCTGTTGAGACAGAAAAAAGAATTGCGAATGTTTTGCTAGGATAAATAAAAAGAATAAACGTTTTAGTCGGAACAATATATTATTATTCCAGAAGTGAAGGAGCAAAGCCCTGAAGGCATTTAGGCCCACTCCAAAACTGTCTCCAAACAAACAGAGAAAACTGCTTTGTGTGCAGGGGTGTTTAATAGTTACATTATTCATAATATGCAAATATATTTCACTTCTGTGTTGTCGAGCATCTGTTCTCAGTGCTTTTGAAATGGAAAATGCAAGTCTCCCTGTCGCATTTATATAAGTTTTTGTTTGGGCCACAGTTGGCTCCCAAAGCTTCACAAAGTTAAATTTGAAAACCGCCTCTGGAATCAAGCTGTGCACATTCAAGAAAAAGTGGCAGTAGTTGTCATCAAAGAGAAGTAGCACATTTTAAAACACATTGGATGTAATTTATCAAAATGGACCCAGTAAAATAGCAAAATTGTGTGCTTGACTTTTAGTTTGACAGAGTAGGGTATATTTAGCATTTAAAAGAGAATGAATTTTTAGATGGCTGTCACTAGGCTCCCGTTTCTCAAAAATAGAGATGTTGTACTTGACACGAAATGTGGACTATTTATAGGAATAATTGTTGGTCATTTACACAAAGCATTTAAAACCTGGCCTTGAAATGTGCTTGTAAATGCATGCGGGATACGTCATACTCCTTGAACTCTAAAGTACTGCACTGAACAGATTGACAAAAAAATAAATATATATATCCACAAAAGAACATCGTCTCATTTATCGTTGCAGTACAATAAAGCCATACACTCAACCTATATTGCACACCGCTAGAGAAGAACTATCTAATCCTGGAGCAATAGCTTTGTGGATCAAACTATTTTTTTTTTTATCCATAGCGATGAGTGGCAGCTAAATTAAACCTATCATCAAAGCCAGTGCCATTGCAATAACAATGCAGGTCAGCTCGACAGTTTTGAATCCTGGGATATGTCTGTGGGAAATCCGGGATGCAGGCATTCAAGACAAGAGACAGTATGGGGTGTTCTGTAGAAATGAGTCACATCATTTTGGCATGTTCAACTTTGCACAATACAGTGCTGGACAGGTGACCTTAACTTGATGCACCGCAGCTATATTAACTGCTCTGAGACTGTCAGCCACGGTAGACATGGCTGTCAAGGCCATGTCTACCATGGCTGAAATATTATTCATAAATAACATAAGAAGATTTCATAAATGTTTTGGTTTCTTCAACTGGTGGAAATCAGGACATCCAGATAAAGTGATATCATATAAAATAATAGTGGAGTTTCTGAATTTCTTGATCAGTCTTTTAGGTTTCATGCATATAGCCTCCCCTCGTATTCCCATGTGTTCTACTAAAACTTTAGGCTGTTTTAGTCTCAATATGAAAGTGCACTTGCACAAATACAACCAATCTTTTTTTTTTTTTTTTTTTTATTCTTCCCTTTAGGGAACTTCTGGAAGAAAGTGGCCTCACAGTGGACGTTCTGGACAAAATTGGAAATATCAAATTTGAATTTGTTGGAGAAACAGAGATTCTTGACGTCCACGTCTTCAGAGCTGACAGATATAAAGGTGAACCAACAGAATCAGAGGGTAAGACTTTCTCTAAAGAAACCAAAGCAGATTCCTTTAAAAAAGTAGAAGTTCATAAAAGACTGGGGGAATAACCTTTTTGAACACCATTCCAAGTAATAGAGGTAAGAAAAACCAAATGTTCCCAGTTTGGTTTCAGTTCCTTTTAAATGTGACTTCCTTTTAATGTTATTACTAACTCATAGTCTCAATCACAATTTCTACATGCTTGTAAGGTTGAGAGGCATGTTGAGGTCTGGATTTGAGTCTTTTATGACCCTTCAAAGTTTAAAGTAGTCACAAAAAGTTAGTGAAGATTCAAGTAGGCATTCCAAGCTTGCTAATGTTACGCAGGCACAATCCAGGTTCATCCCTTGATGAGTTAACTACCTGTGTTTTGCTTGTATGATTCATGGGGGAAATAGTTGTGTTAATATATTAAGACTAATCTGAAAACTAGTTAAAAACCAAACATTTTGAGAAAACGTAAAAAAAAAAAAAAATCAATGCAAACAGGTAACGTAGCACAGAATATTTTCAAAAAATTAAACAAACCATTCAATCTGATACCACACTCTTTACAGTTCCCTACAAGAACAGTGATTGAATTAAAGATGCTCACCAGAGGGGGGAAGGAAGGAAGCATTAAAATGTGTCAATGCACCTTTAAGAGGAAAGAGGGGATTGTAGCAAGATTAAATACTTGGCAGTTCTGTTTGCTGTGTAAGAAATAAGTCAAGGTCAACTATGTGGAGACCAAACATACAAAGATACAGAGAAGCATAACTCCTGATGTAATCAGACGTAACACTTTAAGTAAAAAGTCTGGAGGGTAATCGAACTCAAAGTCCAGAAATTGAAGGAGAAAAGAACATTTCAAGTATGACTAATTAAAAAAAAAAGAAGTGCATGATTTTTTTTTATTTATTATTATTTTAGAAAAAGCAAATGGGTATTGAAAGCTATTTGAGGATTTAAATAATTCACAGGCGTTTGTTTTGATAATAAAATAACTTGGTCATTGCCAAATTTAAGTCAACTGTGGTACATCCCATCTTTCAACAGCTTGAAGAACCATCTTAAGCAACTTGAATACATTTCCTCACGATTGTTGTGGAAGTATTCTTGCCCACCTATCTGTATATGGTATTACACCACTTCATTAAGTTTGACCATTGCTCCTACTACAGCATTTCAATCTGGTTGAGGTCAGAACATTAGGTGGGTCATTGCAACACCTTGATTCTTTTCTTTTTTTCACCCACTCTGTTGTAGATTTGCTGTTGCATGGTCCAATTTAGAAGAAGCTTGATTTGTCAGATAGTTACAAATTTGACTCTAGAATACTTAAGTGTAAAAATGACTTTGTCGTCTTCTCAGTGACTGCAAGACATCACCATACTTTACAGTTGTATGAGGTGTTTATTTTTTTTTTATCTTTTGCTTGAGTTTTGTTCAGCCATCTGTACATTAATCAGCATGTATCTGAAGAACACATTTGAGTTGTTCGGGTTTGATTAATTTTTTCATGTCTTGTGTTTTATAGAAATGAGGCCTCAGTGGTTTGACTGTGACAAAATCCCTTTCGGTCAGATGTGGGCCGATGATGTCTTGTGGTTCCCTTTGTTGCTACAGAAGAAGAAATTTGTGGGATACTTCAAGTTCCAGGGTGAGGACGTGATTCTCAGTCACAAACTGGAGGAGGTTCAGGAGCTTTGATGTCAAACCTTGTAGTGTTTTATGTGTGGGACCATGAGGAGGAAAATAAGGCGTTTAAATTTTGACAATTATTACTGAAGGTAACTGATGGTGTCCACTGTTCATTTAGTGAAAGGAATGAGATGATCATTTTGATAGGAAGAGGAAGCATTTACTGTACACGCTTTTCAACTGTAACAAGTGGGATTAAACATTTTTTTCTGTAACCCGTCTCATTGGATGTTTTCTTGAGAAATATCAGCAAGTTAATCAAAGCAGCAGCAGCATGTTGAAAGCAAGTTTATTTCTGAACTAACAAAATTCAGCAATATGTATTCAGTACAATATATAGTTTGCTTTTAATACAAAATATTGAGTTTTGTTTGAGTTTTGTACTGGGTTTAATATTGTTGGTTGTTAAACTTGGTCCTGAAAACAAATGTGTGTATGTATACAATATATTCACAGTCCTGGCAAATATAGGTTTAAAATAACTTACATTCAGCCACATGTTTGTTGGAGGTTATTTTGAGGTCCATCCACATATTTAACTCGGAGTCACTCCAGAATGTTAACATTACATCCAGTCGACAGAAACATGTTTGAAAAAGTAAGTTAACTTTAACCCTACATCCACTAGGGTTTCATACTTGTGCATCCCATTATTACTGGTGTGATTAACAGGCATTTCTAGTGTATAATTCTCTTTTTTTACACCCAGATTCATTAATCGTGATCGTCAATTCTCCTTTCAATTTGTTTATTAAAAATATAAAATCTTTTGATACATATAATCTTATGATAATATAGGGCTTGCAAAAGAAAACCGAGTTCAAAATTGAATCAAATACAGTGACAACCTAAAGTTAGAGGATTAAAGACCCATTACAGTAGTCAAAAATTAAAGGCATGTTGTGAATGAATTAGAATAAGCCTGGTTTCATGTTTCAATATGTTGAGCTGAATTGTCAAAGAAAATTAGCAAACGTTACTTGCAAAACTGCTTTTAGAGTGCCTGCAACCTTTGCTGTTTCCAGATACATATTGACTAATTTTCAGTTAAGTATTTATAAAGTATCCTTTGGTTTATTTGGAGAGTCCTTTATTTACCTGAAGAAGTTGTTTAAAATATGTTCCTGTTTCTAGTCACATGTCCAAACACAAACAGAACACACACACACACAAAAAAAAACAGAATTGTTGAGAATATAAACATTGCAGGTACATAGCATTTGTACAGCAATAAGTATCCCATTTTCATCTTAAAAATGAATGTAATTGATGGATCTAAAAAAAAAAACATCCAGAAAGACTGAAATCTCAGTGTCAGCATGTTAGTGTCCAACTTCTGAAAAGCTGTAAAAAGATCATTTTGTATCAGAATGAGTGAGTGTTAACCATTTTAGATCCCATTTATAATAACACCTTGTTACTGTGCTTACATCTGTAAAAGCTGATTCTGAAATGAAAACATCACAGAACACAAATTTGCATGGGGTTAATCACAGCAGACAGTAGAAACCATCTTACTGAATGGAAATGAGAAGAGTTGTGCCTAAAACATTTTCAGGCATTAAGCTCACGGAGCTTTTCATTTTCCAGTTGGCGATCTTCATCTGTAGGAGTGTTTATCTTCTGCTTTGCAATGCTTTTTCAGATTGGAGGCTTCAGTCCGTTATTACTGCCAAAGAGACACCCGAGCTTAGGTTGGACTTCATTCCACACATCACCCATCTGATCAGCAAAACAGAAAAAAGAAAACAAGTTTGTCTTTATGTAAAATGAATATTTTTGGTATACAGTTCCATAACCAAATGATAAAAAACTTCAGGTCTGAAAAAACCCTAATCCAAAAATTCCACCGGACTTAAGTATAAAAAAAAAAAAGACAGACTATATACACATATATAAAAATGAAAAAGGATACCTTTTTTAAAAAAACAGAAAAGGTGGACATGCTGTATGTGATATGCACTTTTTTATGGGAAATATACGGTAGCTCTAATCCATCCTTCAGTATTAGCTCTTTTGTCAGACTTTAGGAGCCAATCTAAAACTATATTGGACATTCCCACTGAAGAGGTGCTGAGTCGACATCAAGGCGAGCTGGAGGAAAACCCATTTCCATACAGCCTTACCTCTCTGTGTCCTTGGACCTGGGAGTTAACGAAAGCCCCAAGAATGTTGGCGGTGATTGGAAGGTAGGTGAAGATAAGCTGTGTCTCTTGATGAAGGCAGAACAGGGAGAAATAGTTGCGGAGCTCCATGGTCTGGATGGCACTTTCTTGCTATTAAAAAGAATTGTGCCAAAATAGAAAACTGATTATTAATGTCAAATGATGATGAAAAGAAAATGCAAACAAGAGGAACCTATTATCTTTTTGTTATGAAAGAACTTTCTTTCATAAGACGCGTCCCCCAGACGATTAATCTTGGAATGCACAGTGTCTGGACTTTTACTTTGCTTGTGAAATGCTTGCCTTTTTTACTTTTATTTGACTGAATATATTACTTTTTGCAACTTCTTCCCTTGTTTAGAATTAAAGACTTAAACTTTTTTTATCTTTCATTTTGCTTTTTCATTTCCTGTTAAGCACTTTGAATCCCCTAATGTAATATTGGTGCTGTGTAAATAGCCTTACCTTTTCCTAAAGTTTTTCCATTACACAACAGTTGTTAGGAAAGGATATTCTCGATGCTCAATGTCATTTTGGCAGTACGGTAGGATTGGTACTTCTAAAAATACTGAAATGTTCTCTTTTTAACATATTTCAAGACAAAAAAAATAATCATATTTGACAGGTGAAGCTAAGTAAAAAGGGCAATTACATGCAAAAATGGAGCTCCTGAAACCCACCAGGAGTCCAATAAAACAGGATTTGTAACGTAGGAATGTTATGGCCTGCAGAAATCACAAAGTCAGCTGACTTGACAGTTGTTCAGCAGGCAATCTTAGACAAAAACAATACAGCGCAAAGTTAATTAGTAAAGAAGCTGGCCATTTTCAGAGTGCTCTGTTAATGAAAAGTTGAGTGGAAGGAAAAAACGGGTAGTAGCAGGGATTATAGCAGCTGTGCCTGGAAAGGATTCTGGAGCAAAACCCAGTCAAGAGTTTGGGACATTTCACAGGATTTGGACTTAGGAGCCACCACACACAGATGTATCAGAGACAATCTACCAGGACATTTTAAAGCACCGTTCCTTCTGCAGACACGCTTTAGAGGCCGAGTCCATTTTTGAGTAGAACATTGCACCTCTCCATTCCACACAGTCAAAAGTATAAATACCTGCTTTCATAACCATGGTATCACAGTTTTTGATATAGAATCCAAAATCTGTTGGCCAAGATGTAATGTTTCTAAGAAACATAAGAAATGTTAAGGCCATGAGCCTCAAACCTTAAAAAAAGAAAGCACTTCTATCACTACTGAAATAAATTAACTAAATAAAATGCTAGAGCATTTGATAAGTCAAGAAATGCCAAAATATAGGGAACAGTTTTGTATGTCCAAATTACATGTTTGTTTCCCCTAAAGTGCAATTTGTTTAAGGAAATGAACTGAAAAATGTGTTTAAATGGCAAACATGGACTAAGCACATTGGCTGCATTCAGAAGATTAAAAAAAAACACCAAGAAAATGAAAGTATAAAAAAAGTTAATTACCTTCTTAACACAGACTCAGCTTTGTACCAGTGTCTGAAATTTTGTTTTTAGTCTGCAAATGAGTCTGTGATTTACCACATTAAATTAAATGTGTTCAAAGGGTTTAAAGAGGAGACTCTATACGTTTTGAGGATTATCCAGTCTGAGTGAGAGTGTTTTTGTGCATGAAAAAGGGTGTTAGGAGTTAAAAGGACTGAAGTCCACATCACAGCAGCCTGCCCCAGCTCTGAATCCCAGCTTTGCTTCCCAACAGCACCATTGAATGTATGACAAGGTCACCTTTCACCATGACAGTGCTTTCACTGCCATTTTAATAGCTTATGTCACGACTCAGATAAAGCAGCTTTTGCAAAGAAAGTTTTATAATTAGGCAAACAAAATGAAACTGAAAGAACAATCACCTGAACGATTCGCGACTCCAGCTGCTCTACAGAAGCCTGCTCTTTGGACTGAACAGTGGCACTCATCATCTGCCTTTTCATCATGCTGTACTTGTGCAGCGCTTTTTGGTGCTCGTGAAGCACGCCCTTTTCATGACGCTCGCAGAGATCCTAGAGGGAAAAAAGAAAGAAAGAAAAAAAAAAACAGGCAGCAGTTCTTACTGATTGACTGAAAGTGGCGGGGTGATGCACTTCACCACGACATTATGTAACAGATGAGTGACAGGAGAAGCATTGGGACAAAAGTATGGATAACTTAAAGTACTTTGACAAACAAGAGCTGCAATTTTATAAATCCATGTAGTTGAAAAGCATTCCCAGAAATAAAAGTTCTGTTCTTAAAAAGGAGAAACTTAAAAAAAATAATAATAATAACATACTGTGGGCTGCTAAAGATTTTAGGAGGAGATAATGGGAAATAATTTTCAAACTTTTTTCACCTTTATCATGGCATTTAGCTTGCACAATGCAACTGACAAACATGTATGGGAGTTGAGTAATACAATAAAAATAACCATGTTGCATAACTGTGCGCACCTTTGAACAAATACTTAAAAATTACTATTCAACTTCTGCAATCGGTCCTCTTGAGTTAACACCTGTATTTAAGTGCAGCTGAACATGAGATGAAGTTATCGTTCTGGGATTTTTGACATTTGCATCTTTTAGTAAAAGTCGCAATTCACAGAGGCAGGAAAAGATGATTCGAAGTTGACAAATGTGTCAGTCAGGAGAGGCAAACAAATCATTCTGCAGAACTAGATAAAAACAATTGGACATAAATGTGAGACAATTAAACAACTGAGATATTCCAGAAACTCTCCAAAATTAATTAGATTAAAAAGAAGACTAGACTGAAGGTAGATATTAAGGCAACAGCAATGGTAAAAACTGGAGGCATTTCCAACAAGTTCTGGTTCTCCATATTTCTGAACTAAATTGTGTTGCAAGACATAAGACTTCTACAGAAAATATCCTAGCTTTGCTAACATCTTCTAAACCTTAAGAAATAATGTGTTAAAGTTTGGTTAAAAAAAAATGCATTTTTGAGCTGCAATTCCAAATTGCTTAGAACAAAAAAAAATATTAGTGCATTAAAAAAAGAGCATCATATCCACAGTGG